CTTCTGGTCGACAAGTACCTTGAGCCCACATACAAGCTTCTTGACTAGATAGATCATCTTTAAACATGTAAGAGCTCTACCAAACTGACCCATTCGAGCGACTTACTCAAGTTAGTCTGTTGAGCTATTCTGAGTGCTACATCAGGTTGATAGCTGAGAAGGTGATTTCTGGGCCTAAGAAGAGGACAATAGCCAAGTTTAGTTCCAAACATTTTGTCTAATCCCCCAGTCTCGAGTGGACCAGGATTACTTGAGGATCGACGAATCATTCACTCTCACGTTCTTATCGAGGGTGAGTTGATCAATCCATTTTCTTGTCCAAGGTGGGCTGATAACAAGTCATGCCCAAAATGCCAGATTTGAGTTTTTTGTGGCTAGAAGAAGTGAATGGAAAATATTTCGAGATTCTTGTGGATGTTATGTGGTAAAATAACGAAGCGATCAAGAACGTGGGGGTCGACGATGCTGCCCATTCACTCGGTCGATTGCAAAAGAGAAAGGAGGGTCAGCTGAGTCGTCCTTCTTATGGGAGGAGGAAGCCATGTATATGAAAGGACGAGTCTTTGGATGTGAAAATAACCTGAGGAGATGGTGGCTATTTATAGGCTGATAACTCTTGATGGCCACCCTCCTTCTAGTGTTATTCTGTTGACGGGAGGTCGCCAACAGTTATGAGATACTGTTTTTATGGCGGTTTATTAGGGGGTTATTTGTTATTGTAAAAATTTAGGGAGTTCATTTAATAAAAGAATCAAAAGAAACCGCATAAAGTAAACCAGATATTTTGGCTCGGAAAGTCATCATTAGCCCAAGAGTGCGATTATCGTGGACCGGCCCGTATCAAATTCTGAGGGTACAATACTTTGTTTACAAAACCAACATTTGATCATCATTCATAAGACAGTTTTAAGGCACAGGCGAAAAGAAGAAAAAGAACTCATAATATTTCTTCACACATGTTCTGACCCGACCCGACCCGTCTCCCTTTCCACAGGCAGACGGGTCAGTTTTAAATATTCACATGCCCGCTCCACCCTGCCCTGCCCGTTTTCCATCCCTACTCGACGGTATAAGCCAATCGAAGAAGCCAACTGTAGCCTCCCCTCTCACCCGCAAACCCGAGTACTCCACCAATTTCCTCCAAACCTCACTCACACTCCATTTTCGAGACTCGACCCACTGTACAACCTCTTCAAGCCTCCGCAACTTCCCCAAACCGAACGTGTAGTACACCACGAAAGGCCTTCGCGCTTGAGAAGCCGCCAGCCACTGGATGACGGACTTAACTTGAGGGTCCCCACCGAAAACCCCACAGCCCCAGTTCCCGGTGGCCACCCCAACCTCACCTTCACTATGCCGATCTATAAATCCACAAAAAGCCTTATTAACCTCACGCAAGAGGCCTTCGGGCCTGTACTGCGAGTTCCCGGGCCCGTCGAGGGCATCGATTGCGATTACCCTCGTTCGGCGCCTTTTGATCAGGTCGACACCCTTTGTGTCCTCGTGGGGCCCGGCGAATCGGAATGAAAAATCGTAGCCCGTGTAGTTTGAGAATCTCTCGGGCCCGACTATCTCGATGGACTCGTTGTCTGCCATTACGGGCAGGAAAAGCATGGCGGCAATAAGCTCGGGATTGATCGCGAAGCGGATTTCTTCTTGGAGAGAGCCGAGTTTGAGAACCAAACCGCCGATGTATTGATCTGCAAAATCTACTTCGAGGGCTTCGTAAGGTTGATCTTCGATCAGGCCGGAGGTGTTAACCTATTGATTTTGGCAATGTTAGATATCTATATCGGAAGATAATACATAAATTCATTTGGGATCTCCAAATGAATACCTAGCGTGCTATTGCAGTACACTGGTTGCTTATTTATTACCTCAAATCTGCATAGGGAATTGTTAGATTTGCTCCAGAGATCAGCTTCAGGGTAAAAGATGTCGGACGAGTTATTTCTCCTCAAAGGGAGAACTTTTCTCTCGAAGGAGACATTCCCAGAAGGCATATTCTGGCATACCCTCTCAAAATAGTGAACTATGCACTTTATTTTGTTTTCATGAGCTGCCCCCTTACAATGGTACAAAATCCTGAAAACATAATCATCAGTGACGAAAAACGGAAAACTCTGCCTTTCCTTTAGGGGGTCATTGGACATAACAAGCAAATAATGCAATAGTTTTTAAGGTACAGATTTACACGTACCGGTTAAGAGTATCAATTTTGAGAATAAAAGTTTATTAAATAGATCCGATGAAAGGTGGCAACCCAGGTGCTACAAAGCTGATTTTGGAAGACAGCTGGTATTTTCAACTTAAATTACTATACTCACAACTGTGTAGCTGGTAATCATTTCAACGGAAGATGCCAAGAAATCCGAAACCAAAGAGAATTACAAGTATATGGATGACAAGTGTTAACATACCCAAACAATTTATCAAAGTTGATGTGTTGAAGATTTTTCTCATCTCTCTTAGCTGTTGGAAACAAGCAAAAAAGAGCACAAGCCAGAAGAGCAGCAATCAATTCCTGAGACAGGCAACTATAGTTTAGTGGAGCCATATTGCACCAGTAAAAGAAGTTGAGCTCAGATCACTAATCAGGAATTAAGGAATTTTTTTATACATGAATGAAAAATGTGGTTATCCTGGAATTTACCAACACTACTATGTTATTAACAGAATATCATGATGCTACAAGGGGAAAAACCCTCGATTGGACATTTCAGATTCTTCTAGTTACAAATGTGTGCGTGTTCCCGCACATGTTACGCCCAATAAACTACTGTCCACTAGTATATAATAACTTAAACTTAACCTGATTCCCTTGTTTTCTTTCAAACTGTTCATTCCATGAGCACAACCTTCTTACTATAATAATTTCACTCTCACTCATGTAGATATGGTACTGATTCGAACTAAAATTAATGGTTTTGCAAATCAATACATTGGTTAAAGTAATTTTAGGATTAACAGTCTAAAAGAAAAGGCATGAATTCAACTACAGTGATAACCTCCTATAAAAACGAGAAGAAAGAATAAGAAGAAAATGGTTGAAAGTAAACTTTACAGTACACATTTAAAAAGAACAATCTAACAAGAAATAGTTGACTGCAAAGCCAATATAAATAAGCATTGCAACTTTTGTTGCAACAGTAGTAAAACCACTTTGAAAATAGTTGCTAAATATGGATTTATATATTCAACCTGTAAACTTTAAACTCTAATCAACCATGGCAGTCAAAAGATTAGATGCAATGTAATCAAGCCACCTTGAGTTGAATTGAAAAACACAAAAACTGACTCTCGTATGTCAAAATCAAAACTTAAAAGGAACTATTTACTCCTTCTTACTCGTGCCCGCAAACAAATCCCACCTGACTAAGAATTACGACACCTGGCTGTTGAGCTTCCAATAATCTAAGACCAGTTTCCATTCCATTAAAGACAGCTGCATTCTGATAATGAGATTTCAACAACTCAGGTAACCTCAACAGTAAACCAGCAAGTCTAGGGACCACTTCTCCAAACCACTTCTCAGCTTCATCCTTATTCATCAACTGCACTAACAATAACATTAAACTCTTTAACAAGTAATTCCATATGCTCCTATATAATCAACACATAGTAAGACAGTCCACGAGCATTAACCTTCTTTACCTTATATTTGTATTTTGTCACTAGCATTTTTTTAAGAGAGTTTTCAGCATATAAAAGCCAGTACCCACAAAAAAATCAATGGATAAAAAAGAACCTAAAAATCCCTCATTCGTCAAAATATTAATATAACTTCTACAATCCACTACTTCCAGAAAACTAGAGTTAAAATATGGCCGTCTAAACTGTGATAAACGCAGAATCAAATCAATATCACCTACAACTAAACCAAGAATGTGTCATTAAAAAAAGTGGGTATCATTTTGTTCTGTGAAGAATTATACACATCATAAATAGGACAAGTTTTCAGTTAGTAGTAAATTGAGAAGTCAAAACACCTATTCAGACATCATTAAGCAAATCTTCCAACTGAACTGCATCATAATCAACAACATTCCAAACTCATACTAACTTCTCACATGTAAGAGTCCTAAAACTTTAATGATTACTCAGTTCGGAAGAAAAAAAAGATGAAACAAAAGGTGATGCAGTAAACTTACATCATCAAAGAACAGGGAGAAGCCAGATGGCCTGGAGGCATGGAGAGGAGAAAGCCCGAGAGATTTGCGCAGGTCGTTAATGGAGACGGCAAGAAGCTCACCAGAATCGACATGGCTGTGACTCGGGCCTCTGGAGAGGGCTTCAAGGATTTGCACCACTGGCACCGGCCAAGAAATGGCGGAGGATCGGACGGTCAGCGGCAAAAACGGCAGAATAGAACGGAAATCTTCCCGGGCATCAATGGGATAATGATTGCTCATGCTGTGGT